CAAAGAAGTAGAAGCAGGAGTGGAGCATGTCCTTTGGACCTGGGATCCCTGTGCTGAGACCCTCCTGACTAAGGAGACAGAGACAGAGTTGTAGCACTGAAGATGGCAAGGTGGCGAGAAACAGCAGCAGAAGAATGGCAATAGCAGAGTCAGAACCAGGAAACTGTCAGGAGACCAACAAGAGACGGTATGGCAGGCTTCCCACCCTGCAGTGTGAGAAAGCTGAGTGCCCCTGGGCAGGAGGCTTGCAGGCTGAGTAGAGTGCCTCTGGGCTCTTGGTAGAGCTAGATTTGCTGACCCGGAAAGCTAGAGCTGAGCGCCTTCAGGCCAAGGCTTCCTGGCAGAATGGGGTGCCTCAGGGCACTTACTGGAAGAGCTAAAAGAGGTTTGTAACACTTGCCTGAGCAAGGCAGAGGACAAGGGGCCAGAGAGAGGTGGCCAGCAGGCACAGCTGAGAAGAGACAGTCATGTTGGAAGAACTGTATCCTGAGCCTTCCTGAGTGTGAATTGTAACCAGTTACTTCCCTAATAAACCCCGTAATCATGAGTATTGTCTGTGAGTTCCGTGTGGCCTTCGCAATGCATTACCGAACTCTGAAATAGAGAGTACCCTGGGAGGGACGGTTGGTATCAGAATTGGTAAAAATGGCAGAGAAACGAGGCATGTTTGACCTCCACCTAATAGGAATCAGCCTTGGGCTGTTGTTTTTGATTCTCATTCCCCATTGTGAAGTTAGAGGAGGTCAGACACTGTCTCTGGCGCGCCATTATTACAAAGGGCCTGAAGGCAGGTAGTCTTGCCTGAGTCACTGGGCTTTGCCAGGAGAAGGAGATCCAGGTTGTCTGAATTGAATAGGATGTTTCCTTTGTCTCCTGTCCCCACTACCCTGCAGGCTCTGGATCATCCATGTAATTGAGAATTAACAGCCAGAATAACAAGAAAACTAGACATATGCCCAGAAATGTAGTTGTCAGAAATTTAGTCTTCAGCATACTGACCTTCATTCTGACCCTGGCTCCACAACGTACTGTTTGATTAGCATTGAGCAAGTGATTAATAGACTGCCACTTTCCTCACTATAACCCATTTGACGCGATGTCTGCTTAGGAGAGGCGTGAGGAATAATGAGCTAGTGTGCTGAAATATTTTTGCAAATCCCTTCAAATATTGCAATTGCTCTATAATTGCAACATTTTATCATGACTATGTTGTAGAAATGGAAGTTAAGTTTTTTGATGGTTTGAAAATACGTAACTGGCTGCATTGAAGTAGAGGGGACTTTTGAATGTGGCACTGGATCAAAGATTGCTGTGACACTATCATGCCGGGATTCATTAGGAGTGACCTTGACAGCTCACTTCATCCAGTAGCCTATCTGTTCTACAGCTGCTCATCTGTTCAGTAAATTGTAGCATCAGAAGTGCAGTGTAGCTGCCTTTTGTGTCCTCACTACGTGTGGGAGCTAAAGGTTGATGCTATTTCACAGAGGCCAGTCCTGCAGCCCAGACGATGCTAGTGGTCAGAGTTCCAGTGGTCACACCTGCATACCTTCCAAGTGCTGCAAATGTGAGAAAATTTTGGAGTGGAGGGTCCACAGGTTTGGTATGTATGTTTCTGTTTCCTGGGATGCATGAGTAGTGTAACAGCTCAATCCCCTGCACATCAATGAACTTAACTAGAAAATGTAAATCTTAACCTCTTGTTCATGGTCAGCAAACACAAGGGCATGCTATTCTGATTCTTCAAAGACTGGTCTCTTTGTCATCTTATAACATTAATGTGTGTGTGGGTGTCTGGGTGTGTGTTTATTGAAGGGAAAGTCACTCATAATTGCTGTATAGCTTTGGGTCTGAAAGTTTGAGAATTGTGATGCTATCTAGATTCTCTTGTTTCCTGTCTCTGAGCTGGTCTCTGTTTACCTTTACAATACCCTTGCCTGTCTCCATGAAGGGACAGAATGCATGACAGTGCCCCTGTAGAGTTATTGGTAAGTAGGTGAGACATGTAAAGATTTGCAATTCCTCAAAATAATATTTTCTTTTTAGCAGATGGTCTCGTTAGCCTCTGACCACCTGGAGTTCTGTAAGAAAGTATGACAAGCTCAGGGCCTTGGGTTGGGTTGCCACTTTGTGCACACCACTGGACCCCCCATGGCTGGTGAGGGTCAAAAGGAAAAACCGCCAGTCCTGGAGTATTTCCCAGTTGTTAACATTTCATGCTGCTTTCACTCTGTGCTTCATGTTTTGTTAAATATTCTGCTGGTTCCTGTGCAAGGAGGTGAACTGTTTTTTCAGAAGGAAGAGATGATCCGAATGGAAAGAGGGCATTCACTGTAGAGCATTTCTTCAGTTGATGCCATGTGTTCTGACTGTTGTAGAGCATAAAGGTAGAGAGGAATGGGACTACAATTGGTCACAGTCATACTGTGGAGAGATAAGTTCATTGTGTTGGAATTACTGTTAAGTCTATGAGACAGGATGCAGTCTGTGAGGAAGTGAATGTAGACAGTGAAGGGATGAGGCTGATGGTGATCTCCTGGAGTAGACCATAGTAGACCACAAAACTTGTCTGAAATCCCCATGAAATGTCAGTTCCCCAGGACTGTCATCCTCACTCTTCCTTTCACACACATTGGAATATGTGGTACCTTGTTGAACCAGAATATGTGATAATTTTTAGGACTCGGTGGCTTTTGAGGATGTGGCTGTGGACTTTACTCAGGAAGAGTGGGCATTGCTAGATCTTTCTCAGAGGCAACTCTACAGAGATGTGATGATGGAAATCTTCAGAAGCCTGGCCTCAGTAGGTATGATAAAAAAAAAAGCCCGAACCGATTGCCATCGAGTCGATTCCAACTCATTGTGACCGTATAGGACAGGGCAGAACTGGCCCTTAGGGTTTCCAAGGAGTGTCTGGTGTAGTGAAACTGCCGACCTTTTGGTTAGCAGCCATAGCTCTTCATTGTTAAATTTTTAAAAAAATTTTTGTGACAAAATATGTCATTCCTATCAATGTTACTCCATGATGTGGACCGAGGATTGGGAAAACTTTTTTAAATAAGACAAGTACGGTCACTTGTTCTCTGAAACATGTATATCTTCATTTCCCATGAATACAGAGCTCTGTGTATTAAACTGACTTCTCATTTCAATTGTGTTTAAAAGCCTTAAGACTCTTTAAATGTTGTAAATATGAGTGTTGACTTCAGGGGTTTCTTTGGTGCCCAGAGAGAATATTTGTGGTCTGGGACCATGTAAAGAGTCTTACTTTGTTTATTACAAATTTGACATGATTATTTTGCTACAAATGAATTCACACCTGCCTATCACCAGAGATCTTGAGAACCAAAGTATTGGCTGAGTGTCAGGGAAGTGTTCATTGCTCCTCCCTGTCTTCCCTAATGATATGTCTTTCTCCATGATCACCACATCAGCTACATCCACTTGTTCTCCCAGAGTAGCAAGAGGAAGACCTGAGGAGAGTGCAGATAGCACTTGCCCAGGACCACTGTGTCGGGGGCACCAGGAAGCAAGAGTCGTTTGGGGGACTGGGCCTGCATGGAGGGAGTGAGATTTGAAAAAATGAATTTAAAAAAGTCCCTTGGGTTGAGGAGTCTGTGCTTCACAGATACCTGAGCTTGCTTTTCTGACTTTCATCAGTCCAGACACACCTGGTTCATGGAGAAGGATTATCTCCTTTTCCTCTTTTAATGTTCCATGTGCATTGTGTCCAATACCTTTGTGCTTTGGTCTTCTAATTACACCCTGTTTATGTCACCATCACTCTCAATCTTCATGGAAGCATTTCCTAGTAAATTGCTTTCTCAAAATTACCAAAGTATGGAAACAGCAAAATACATCAGGAAATTCCTTTGCTCACAGCTACCTTTTCCCTCTGAGTATTTTCTCTCCTTTTTGTTTCATGTTGTGAACCTCACCTTAAATGATTGGGTCAGCTTCTCGAAAAGTTATTGATGGATGCAAGCTATCCACTGAAAGTATAACAGTACGATTCATGAAAAATGACACCTGGTCCTTGATGGTACGAGAAATCTTCGAATTGCCTGTCACTGAAGATCAGGATAACAACCAGAAAACACATGTGAGGTGAGTGTTATTTATGCGAGAGACAGCAGTGCTTCAGGAGAGAGTCTTAAGAAGGTATAATGACATTAAAATATTTATATGCCTAAGGAGCTCAGATGGGACAAATGGTTAGGCACTCCATTGCTAACCTAAATACTGGCAATTCGAGCCTATCCAGTGGCTCTGTGGGAGAAACACGTGGCAATCTGCTTCCATAATAATTACACCCAAGAAAACACTATGGGGAAGTTCTCCTCTGCCACATGGGGTCACTGTGAACTGGAATTAACTAAACAGCACTTAACAACAACTATATATGTTCACACACACCTGCGCATGCATAGCATATACACTCACACACACATATTTATGCGTGTATAAAAACCCATTGCTGCCGAGTCGATTCCAACTCATAGCGACCCTATAGGACAGAGAACTGCCCTACAGGGTTTCCAAGGCTGTGATCTTTAAGGAAGCAGACTGCCCCATATTTCTCCCACGCAGCCCCTGGTGGATTCAATCTGCCAACCTTTTGGTTAGTAGCTGAGTGCTTAACCACTGCACCGGCAGTTTTCCTGGGTTTTTATGCACGTGTATATATACGTGTGTGTATGTATGTTTGCATACATGTATGTATACACATGCACACACCCACTGATCACTTCCCGACATCGTTACATTCCAGAGACCAGACAGTTTTGCAAAAGTCGGCATTATGTGAAAATGAAAGACTTTTTGTTCCTGTTTTCAGACCATCCATTTATCCAATTTTTTTAATTTAGAAAATATGTTCATAGACATAATGACAGCTTAGATTTTCTAATGTACTCATTGCTGTGAAGAGTCCATTTATGAATTATTCCTCTGTGAGGAAGGAGGCTTGGAGGAGACAAAGCTGGATAATGCCGGGCTGTGTCTCTGGAGGTCCTACGGCTTAACCACTTCACCTTCCTCCTGTGCTGGGTTAGAGCTCCCTTTGTGAAGCTGCCTCCAGGGCTCCAGTCCCAACCCTACCAGCCCTGTGTTCCTGATCCCAGAGCCTACACTGCTCTCCAGACCTGGCAAGTCACCAAGGCTCTGGGCTTTTGTGAGTGAGCTGTGAGCGTGGCTATGCAACTAGCCCCACAGAGGTGGAGGCTTCAGGCTCCGTTCGCCTCACTTTGGGATGTCGTTAAACTCACAAGCATTTCTTCCAAATACCCTCTCCGCTGTAATTTCTTTCCTACCTTTCCATGCTACAGGAGTTTTGAGTTGCAGGGCCTCAGATTGCATAGAAGATAGGAACCCAGAAGAGGTGCCTGGTGGCTGAGCACTTCCTGTGTGTCCACCTGGAGGCAGTGGCCACAGAGAAGCCTGGCCCTGCCCAACGGATGAATGTGGCAACACTGCCAGCCGAAGGGACTGGAGGGTGCAGGGTAGTGCTGCCCAGGTTCTCTGAGGCGACTCTTGAGACCCTTCTCATTAATGTGAAAATAGTCGGATAGTAGATTTTTCTATTGTCACAAATGTGAAATGTCAGATAATGAGATAGTTGATAAGTGAGGAGTAGGGATGTCTGTGTGTGTGTACGCATCTCAAATCTGTTGCTGTCTTGTCTATTCTGACTCTTGGCAGTGCCTCTGTGTGGGTTTGAACCACCTGCCTTTTGGTCACAGGGGGTCACTAAGCTGGAATCAACTGAACAGCACTGAACAAGAACAATTATATACATACACACACACTCACAGTCACACATATATATGGCAGTACAAACTTTTGTGCCATCGAGGTATCTTATGTGTGTATATAAAACCAGCTCTAATGTTGTGTTGATGCAATTTTTACAGTAGAATATTTTTATAAACGTGAGTCAGATATTTAATATTTGAAACATTTCACTTAAATAGAATTTTTAGTTAGCACCATATTTTAGAAACACAATAAAAATAATGGTAGCATATCTGCTAGATGATTTAATCTATGAAATGAGACAATGCAGGGGAAAAAATGTTTAATCTGTACGGTAATGGTAAAATAGTAACAAATTTGTATCCAACAGCAGGCTGCCTATTTTTAACAGAAGGCATATAATAGAGAAACTATGCGAAAGTAATGAAGACAATCAGACCTTCAGCCAGATTCCAAATCTTTCTGTGCTCAAAAGAACTCCTATGGAAGCATATCCTTCTGAATGCCTTAAGTGTGGACGATCCTTGATGAATCATTCATCACTTAAGCATCATATCAAATCTCACTGTGGATGCAGTGCCTATCAGTGTAAGGAATGTGGAGAAGCCTGCAGTTGTCCCTCTTACCTCAGCACTGCTGTGAGAACTCTTACTGGAGAGAAATCCTATGAATGTAAGGAATGCGGCAAAGGCTTTCGTTCCTCAAAGCTTACTATACATATGGGAATTCACAGTGGAGAAAAGCTTTATGTATGTAAGGAATGTAGGAAAGCCTTTTGTCAGTCCTCAAACCTCACTGCACATATAAGAATTCACAGTGGAGAGAGACCTTATGAATGTAAGGAATGTGGCAAAGCCTTTAGTTGTTCCTCACACCTCACTGCACATATGAGAACTCACAGTGGTGAGAGGCCGTATGAATGTAAGGAATGTGGCAAATCGTTTTGTCACTCCTCAGACCTCGGTATACATACAAGAACTCACAGTGGTGAGAGGCCTTATGAATGTAAGGAATGTGGCAAAGCCTTTAGTCGGTCCTCATACCTGACTTCACATAGAAGAACACATACTGGTGAGAGACCTTATGAATGTAAGGAATGCTGTAAAGTCTTTAGTTGGTCCTCAGCCCTCACTGCACATATGAGAACTCACAGTGGTGAGAGGCCTTATGAATGTAAGGAATGTGGCAAATCGTTTTGTCACTCCTTAGACCTCAGTATACATACAAGAACTCACAGTGGTGAGAGGCCTTATGAATGTAAGGAATGTGGCAAAGCGTTTAGTCAGTCTTAACACCTCACTTCACATTTAAGAACTCACAGTGGTGAGAGGCCTTATAAATGTAAGGAATGTGGCAAAGCGTTTAGTCAGTCTTCACACCTCACTTCACATTTAAGAACTCACAGTGGTGAGAGGC